AATGAAACTGGTTTATTCTTTCTTGAATACAACTTTGCAATATACTTAATTTCCACAGTCGCGCTATAACAAACGCTATAATTCACAACGAACGTCTCACGTGCTCGACTCAACTGTCAATTACACATTACATTACCTTCTTTGCCGTCACTTCTTGGCGGCTTATATATACAAGACTACCGCATATCTAGTAGCCTCTCGAAACTTCACGAACCTTCGAGAATATGACGTGTTACTAGCGTCACGTGACCCCCGCTGTCGTAACAATAATATATATGTATATATATATCCCGAACAAGTTATACTTATGTACAACAAATTCGTCAACACTATAGAGACCACAGGCATATCATAAACACTATATGTAGTTCTCTTCTTCTTGTCATAAGTTCACTTAAGCCTATTCAATTAGTTTAGAATTTCAGATGACAATCCGAACTATCTTTTCTATTACTATCGCACTAGTATTCTGTGTGTGATTCACTTACAATTGTGATGCGAGTTACCGTAATCGTTTGGTCTTCTATCTTCTAAAGATCCTCCGTTCTTTTTGTCAAACTGCACTCATGCTGATTCAATTACTTTAGAACCACGCTTTGACGGAATAAATTCTTCTTGTCTCCTTTTCCGCTGTTAGTCTTACTCTAACATATTAAGCATTAGGCCTATGTCAATCGTTAGGCTTATCACTTTTACGTAGTTAACCTTTCTTTTTGTACCTTTACTTTCTTCTGCAGTTGTCTGTCTGCTGCTTCCCGCTCGTTTCACGCTATTTATATCTTTATCACCTAATCGTCTGTCTGCCATCTATATTTTCGACGTCAATGTATTGTTCAATAGTCTCAACATCAATGAATTATCAAATAAAACCTTCTACAATCGTTTGTTTTTAATTCTTATTATAACAAAAACTAAACAATAATATAATATTCATTCACAAAAACAAATCAATTAATAACATCTAAACTAAGCAGTCTTTTATATTATAACATAAACCCCTTTTCAAGATAAAATATTTAGAATATTTTTTCACTATACACAAATACTGTCGTTTGTTCTACCACAAAGTCTGCTCATAGAGTGTGCTCCAACATTTGCAGTTCCTTTGATAGCTTCAGTGCGGAACCTGTATTTCTGAAGATACAATGCCCACCTTGATTCTCGCACTATCGATCTTGCACCTCTGAATGTATGCAAGTGGTTGGTGTTCTGTCTGGATGAGGAACTCCTTTCCGTATAGATAGTTCTGGAACTTCCGAATAGCAAATATGATGACCAGACACTCTCATTCAATCATGGAGTGGTTCTTCTCAGTATTTAACAGCTTTTACTTATATATGTCACTGGAAACAGTCCATCATCGTGATCTTGTAAGAGTACTGCCTCAATTCCAATGTTTGAAGCATCACCCTTAACAATGAATGGTTTGTTGAAGTCTGGAATTCTAAGAATTATTGAACTTCCCAATAGGTTCTATAATTTCTGGAATTCCATCTGGTATGGATGTTCCCACTTCACCTTGTTGGGCAAGCCTTTCTTGGTCAGGTCAGTCAATGGTGCAGTAATTTCAGCATAATTTTGGATAAATTTCCTGTAGTATCCTGCTAACCCCAGGAAGGATCATTGGAGCTGATGTATCTTGTATGCAGGTTACCTTTTCCTTTTCCATGGCTATCTGTCGATCCCCCCCTATATGTCTAACAAACTCCAGCACAAATTATCCAATGTAGCACTTGGATGTTCTGATGGTGAGGCCTGCTGCCCTCACTCGCTCGAGTAGTTGTCTAAATCTCTTCAGAGGGTCTTCCCATCTTGCAATGTGTCAGAATGTCGTCCACATAGTGTTCGATGTTGGAGGTGTTGTGCAGCATCCTCCTCATCATGCAGTTGAATGTTTATGCTGAATTGAATAACCCAAGTGGCATCCACTTAAATTGATACCATCCATCAGGTGTCACAAATGCTGTCTTATTTTTAGATTCTGTCTCCATTGGGATTTGCCAATACCCTTTACTGAGGTAGGTCTTTGAAAAGACCTGGCCCCATCTAGTTTTGTCTTTATGGCCGCTGGGGTTGTCCATAGGTTCTGAGTCGAACTTTGTCACGAGGTTCAGCTTCCGGGAATATATGCAGAAATGGTTTGATCCGTCCCTCTTCTTCACGAGTACAACTGGTGAACAGTAGGCTGAATTTGAAGGCTCCATGAGGTCTTGTATCACTTTTTTCTGCTTGCCAGTCAGTTCTTCGCTGATGTTGACATCTTTGCATGCTTCATCTCCACCTAATAGTATTAGGTCTAGTAGGTTCTCATCTTCTAAGACAAAGTCACTGTCTTTTGATTTTGCATCTATGTTGACCACACCTGTAACATCCATCTCTGTTTCAATTGCTGCACCCATTAGGCTTTCTTCTCTCCCAAAATACTTCTTCAACAGATTGGTATGGTAGATTTTGTTCTTCCCATTCACATTCACTTTGTAGTCCATTCTGTTGAGTACTTCAAAAAGGTCCTTTCCATTGCAGGATGAGCTTGTTGTGGTCTGTGGGCAGCAGAACTAAGACCTTTTGTTTAAACTTGAAACGTCGATTCTTGGCCATCTTGTCATAGAAATGCTGCTGATTATCTTGAGCTGCATACAGACTCTTTCGAGCAAGTTGACAGGTCTCCTTCAGTTGGTTTCTGAGGTCTAACACATACTGGTATGTGTTACTTACTTCTGACTCATTTTCTCCCGTCCATAGCTCTTTCAATATTTGCATCGGATCTCGTACTGTTCTTCCATACAATAACTTGAAAAATCCTGTACTTGCTTGTGGGACTTTTCGATAAGCAAATAATACTGCCTCTAAGTATCTGCTCCAGTCATGTTTTCTCTCTTGGTACATCTTCTTTAGCATACTTTTTAAAACTTTATTTACTCTCTCTAAAGTCTGTTACATTTAGGATTGTACGGGGTGGTAAAGAGTTGCCGAGTACTGATGAGTCTGCACATTTCATGCATCAGTTCTGAAGTAAACTGGGTCCCTCTATCACTCAGGATTTCTCTCATAAAGTCTACTCAGCAAAATATCTCCAGGAGGGCTTAAGCTATCCTCTCTGTTTCTATCTTCGCCATTGCTATTACTTCCAGATAACATGTCGTATAGTCGACTACTGTCAGCACATACTGGTTGCCCTTGTCAGACACAGGCGCTAGTGGTCCAATCAAGTCCACAGCTACACTGCTGAACGGCTCTTCTATGAGATGCATTCCCCCAGTGGCACTTTGGCTACCTTCCTTCTAGGTATTGTTCTTTGGCAGATGTCACACGACCTGCAGAATCTACTCACACCTCCGATAACTCCCGGCCAATGGAAATTATTGGTAATTCTGTCTGCCTTTTTCTTTGTTCCTGGATGTCCTCCCACAATTTATTCATGAGTAAACTTCATCACTATTCTGTTGGTACTATGATCTGTTTAGCTTTTCCAATATAACTGCATTGATAGATTCGGCATAGAACTCTCTCCCGTTCCTCTATTTTATAAGTATCCTTCCCCTTTGTTTTGTGCTCGACTTTCTTCTGGGCATTATCCCAAACTTTCTGTAGTGAAGGGTCTTTCTTTTGTGCTTCCTTCAGTTCTGCAAACTTAAATTCGGGATATCACCTTTTAACACTTGCAGGGGCTTGATGTCTTGCTTGCTCTTCTTTTCTTGAGCTCCGGTGGTGGCAGCAGATGCTTCTTTCTGTCTAGTTCCTCAAAATTTCTACTACCTGGTATGTTATGTATCGGTTCCTTGATACACATAGCCTCAAGGTCACCTACATAATATGGAGTATCTACCTATATTTTTGGTTTGGGAAGCTTTCTCACTGTCCCATCAATTAGCACACACAGGCGTACCTTGCATGTCATCTGACCCTCGGATACTAGACTGATTCTCACTGCTGCACCCAGTGTCTCTTAGAACTTGAACTTTCTTGTCCCTAACATAGCCTTCACATATTGGCATATTATGATTTGTTGACACCTCTTGGTATTTATCACATGCTCCCATCACTATTGACACTATTGGTCCTTTTGTTAACTTGAGCCAACCATTAGTCGTGTACTGATCCATCGTGCTTTCTTGTATGAAGACAAAACGCTTATTTGCTAAAAATAAATAAAGATGAAATAGCACTGATAACGATATGTTTGTTTCCTATTCTGAAAAAAATATTTGATAAATGTCTGTTTCTTTTGCATGATTTCAAGTATGAAAGCAAGTTCATCCGATGCCTGGCAAATGTTTTTAAGTTTTCCTGTAAGAGCCGGAAGAATAACAA